GAGTCATTTAGACAGCCGTTAGCACATGATTCTCCTTATGGGGACCTGATATGTTTAATATGCTGCTGAGAATATAGCCCAGAAGAAGCATAGTATAGCTTTTATTTTGGAAAGAGACATTTCTCTGTAATAAACTCTCTTTTCCAAAGATGAGTGATTTCTCGATCAGATATATATTTTTTGTATTATTTTGTTGTTTCAACAACATTAAATTTAAAAACTGTACTTTTGAGTTAAAATATATATTTCTAATTTTAATAAATGATGAATTAAAAAGGCATGAACATTTTTTTGTATCGAAAAAATATCAAACCGTGACACCAAAGTATCGAACCGAACCGTGAATTTTGTGTATCGTTGCACCCCTAGTTTGTATCTATGTATCAGTTTGCTAGTGTAATCAAGGTCAAAACAGGTACAGTTCAAACAGATATCAGGGATTTTAGAAAGCTGTATCCGTCTTTAGATTACAAACAGAATGCTGTCTTAGAGCAGCCACATACGGTCTCCAAGAGCAAGTGGATAATTGCTGGAAAACACCCACTGATCATCTGAGAGGAGCAACTGACCAGCCAACAGGAGCCGCTACTTGTGGGGAAAATACACTTGAAGAACCACATTTTGACAATTTACAACAAAATAATCTACAACATGATTTTCCATTCATTTTTTTGTATGTTTCATCAGTAAAAGACACAGAAAGCTATGGTGTGAGAAAACAGCAGCATTATTAAGTGTTAAGAAAAATTCAACTGCCCACATAGTCTGTCCTTTATTAACATCGATTAGAAAACCTTGGTAAAAGTAACTTTAACAACATTATGTTGCACAAGAAAGCAAACTTTAAATGCTTCTGATATTTGTGTAGCCCTAAATCTTGTGCAGTGGAATAACAGATACTTTTTTTTAGCTGTGAATGTTTAGATCTGAGTGTCTTTCTGCAGCTCAATAACACTGGGATTTTAAAGAAACAGCAGAACTGAACATTGTATTTTTGGTGAAACTAGTGGAATATTCCATTCTGACAACTCCCTTGAGCAATAGCACAGTCTGACAGGCATAAAATAGTATTTTTGGCCCAATGAGGGGATTCCCAAAGAACTGTTAGCAGAAAAGTTGATGCATATCGGCATGGTGTGTAATGTGTAATTAAAATGTTTTAGGAATCTACAAAAACAGAGGACAGAATAAGAAGAAGTGCCAAGGCCTAAAAAAAAATCTACAGCGGATGAATAGTATCTGAAAGACGGGTCCTTAAGAAATGGAGAGAACAAAATCAGCAGTGACCTGACACGAGACCTGAGAGATGCACATAGTCTACTGAAGAGCCACCGATCAGTCATTGCCTGATCTCTCCAAAAACCAGACCTCAATATTGTTGACAAAGAGCAGAACAAAAGGAAAAGAAGAGCCTTGGATGTCCTTCAAGAACTATTAATGAAGACCAGCTAAAGAAATTAACAGAAAGCTTGCCTAGGGTAGTTCAGGCTGTGTTGACTAAAGGTGTTCACACCAAATATTGACTCTCAAGTTCAATAGAATTGTGCAAACTATGTTTTGCTTTATGTACCGTATTTCCATGCATGTTAGCAGTTTAGACTAAATTGCTGCTCCTGCTTTCCCATTTTACTTAAAAAATATAAAGAAGTGAGGGTTTGGTTGAGACTTTTGCAAAGTACTATATAAATAACTTATATTACTAATACTGATCAATTGATATCTGAGTAGAAGCTTTCTGGTAGCTGATATTTAAGTTCCCAAACCAGGCATACAGCACCTCTCAGTAGGTCACAAGATAAGTCTGACGTAACACGAGATGAATAATGAGGAGAGTAAAACTGTTTCTTTAAGAATAATTTGTTAAATTACAGTTATTTACTTGGATCAGTGCCAGATAAGTAAACAACAGTCCTTTTTGGGTTATACCCAGTGTTGGTCAAGTTACTTGAAAAAAGTAATCAGTAACTAATTACTGATTACTTCCCCAAAAAAGTAATCCCATTACTTTACTGATTACTTATTTTCAAAAGTAATTAATTA